ATTGATTCGTTTGCAGATCATGAAACACCCATATCACAGTCAATTTCATTCGTTTGTAGGTAAGATTGCGAATCCAACATCATTGGATCAATGTAACTAAGCCTCTATTAAGAGACCTGCTTGGTGAAGTGAACAAGACGTCAAGCCAAATCACGATTCAAGATCTGACAAGGACCACAAATTTCCTTCGTTCCAATTTCTATTCCATCAATCTGATTCCAAGACCCATTACAGTTCCGATTTTGCCACAGTTTTGACTTTCTATGGTTTGACCCTCCAAATCGAAATACACTGTCGTTCATCCATTCATCATCAGACCACGTGATTGGCATACCATGTTCATATGTTCTACAACGGTTCATCTCAGGTGTCGTAATTTCAATTTAACAAACACCCAATCAAGATGTGGAACAGATTAAGCAAATTGAGTCAAACATCTTGATCAAATAAAATCAAGATCGATTTTGAGAATGAAACTGTTTTGAAACTATGACTCAAGAACATAAATCGATAACAAATGATTAAATAGAGTCGATACATGAATTCAATTTGAATATGAGAATGAGTTGCAAAATCGCGATACAACATTCACAATTGAGATGTGTCGATGCGTGCATCAGAATGTGCGATGACAAGGAACAAATCAAGGGCTTAAACCAATAAACTCGGTTGAATAAAAATCAAATGCAATTGGGCCACTATGGACGGAATAAACGCTTTTTAGATCCAAAACAAAATACTGTGAATACAATGAACAGGAACATGATTATGTGGGCTAAAACATGGATCGATAGAAATTTAATGAATCAAAGGACTTTAATCGTAAACCAATCAGATTCAAAATATATATATATATATATATATATATATATATGTGTGTGTGTGTGTGTGTGTGTGTGAATTAAATGAGAATATATAGATCTCTATGAACAGTAGATCGAACAAAAAAAACTTGATTCCATACCACCAAAACACCAATAATCTTCAATAACTCGTGCAGAAAATCATCAAATCAAGAACCGATACTTCAAAAATCAACAGATCTTCAATGTCCCGCTCTGATACCACTTGTTGGGATTAAAACCCTAATTGAGATTTGATGAACAAGATGCGGAAAATAAGAACAAACACAAATATGAAGATTAGGTCGAATGATCACTCGATTTATTCAAATATGAGGAATAAATTACACTTTCAGCATACTAAAGAATCTAACACTACAAAAGAAACCTCACGTGGCGGCTACATTTTGCCTAACTCGTAACCCTAATTATGAATAATACATGACTATTTATAGGGAAAAGACAAGTCTTGGGCTTTTAACATACATTTCATCAAGGGGACCATTGCCATCATCCATGGAGTGCTTTGAAACCCTACACATTGCATTAATAGTATAATTTTAAATACATGTGTGTTCTTTCATAGTATAAAACAACATAATGAATGTTCAAAATAAAAGACGATTCTTGACTGCTCCGTCTTCACAAAACCTGGTCGTCGTACCTGTCTATTTGTGACCTGAGAATACAAGTTATTTTAAAAGCGAGTATCAGCAATAAAGCTGGTGAATTCATAAGTATTTATGTGTCTTTGATTTGTAAAACTGTAAAGAAAGACTTGTAAATGTTTGAAGAAAAGTTTCTATCAATGAACATGTTTGTAAGTAATTGTAAACGTTTGAAAACTCTAGAAAATCCCATATTTCCTACTAGTATAAAAAGTAGTCTTCTACCAAGACCCAACTGTTTTGAAAGTATGCATCACTGTAAATGTGACGGTTTTTCCTTTGTATAACTATTATTATTATAAAACTATCATTTACCTCATTGTTTATGTGTAAGTGTCACAATATAAAGGTAATAAGGAAAATAGTCTATCTATATCAAATATATTCTACCTCGTCGTTCATGTGAATGTGTCACAAAGTAAAGGTAAGAAGGAAAATAATATAATAACTAAAATTGTATCCTTTTGCACTAGGATATTCACGGCGTGGTAACACGTCGAACAGTAGAAGCATAGACACCCGTCGATGAGCATTTTCCCTACTGTAGCTAACAGCCTTGGGTGTGGAATGGTAAGTCCCGAAACGTATGTAATAGAATCTATGTAGTAGTCTCTATGTAAACGTATCTATGTAATTGTATCTATGTAAACATATCTATGTAAACGTATTTATGTAATTGTATCTCTTGTAATTGTATGTCTTGTAATTGTATGTAATCATATCTCTTCATATAGTATGTAATGTATTAGTATAGACTCATGAATGAACTGACTCTTGTGTGATTCTTTTGTACTTGTAATAGTAAGTAGTATCACCTAACTATACATATTATAGTTACTTGTAATGTACGTGTATGATAGTCATATTTGGGAAAATCATTCACTTTTACAGAGAAACAAACATACAAAACAGTCGGGTCTTGGTAGAATACTATTTTTTATACTAGTAGAAAATATAAGATTTTCTAGGAGTTTTCAAACATATACAAACATTTACATTATACATTTACAAACATTTTCATCGAACTTATACAAACATTGACAATAAATACTAATGAACTCACCAGTTTAAATGTTGATCTACGTTTTCAAAATAACTTGTATTCACAGGTCATCAGTAGACAGATACCGATGATAGGTTTTGAGAAGACGGAGCACAGTCAAGACTCATCTTTTATTTTGATTATTCATTTTTGGTGTCTTATTACTATTAAAGAACACACTTATATGAAATTATACTATTAATGCAATGGATGATGTTGTTGCTTATTTACTACTTTGCATTGTTATGATACGATACATGACGTCCTCCACCCCAGAACGTTTCCGTCATTCAAGTTTTGGGGTGTAACAGTCTTCCCGTTGTGAAACCCTCAACCCTCAAAATATGAAATAGATTCATTTAAAACAATATGATCATTTTTGCAGAATTACTTCAAAAGTTAACAATAAAGAGATAAATTCACATTTCTCCTTGTCATATTTCCGAACTGTGTTAACAACTTTTGATCTATACGTAATACTTCTTTCTTTTGTTGCTGCATATTTGTAAGGACTAAATGGTATATCGTAGTCTAATCATCATGTTGCTAACATTCTTAAACAACACAAAATAAAGTAGAAGTTGTTTTTAGTGGAACTAATTAATCAAATATCTTTTTCCAAAAAGTAAATAAAATGATGTAATATAAATTAAAGAAAATTAAGTGGCATGCACAAGGTGGGATGTTGACCGTTGGTGGATCATGTGCCCATCATCTTCATTTCTTTTCAACTTTTCATTAACCACGTGACCCCCTATTTTGTAGATTGTCTCATTCATCCACAACAATAATGAAGAATTATATAATAATTAATAAGTAGATAAAATATTTAGGTGAAGTGGTGCATTATTGAAAGAGTAAGTTACATAAACGGTCTTTATGGTTTGGTATGATCGGTAGGTTTAGTTCAATTTTGGAAAAATTGATAGACTGGGGTTTTGTGGTTTTAAAAAATTACAATGTTGGTCCTTTCATTAAACATTGTCCATCAAAGTCCACTAAATGCCATCATGTGAGTCTCACATGAAAGGGGTATTTTCATCCTTTTATTTTCCTCTTTCATCCAACTAATAGTTAGTTATCGAGTTTTAGTAAAGAAAAGAAAAGAAGGATAAAGAAAATAAGAAAAGAAAAGAAATTTGTATTTTGTGTTCGGGAAAGAATTGAAAGGAAAATTAAACATTTTATTCATTTCTTTTTAAATCCTTCCAAATTGGAAGGAAAGTTAGGAGAAAAAATTTTCCTTCAATTTCTTTTCACTTTTATCTTTTATTGAAACTTGAAAATACCAATTTCTTTTATTTTCTTCTCACTTTCATCCATTTCTTTTTTTCCTCTCGTTAAATTGAACTCTGGAACAAGGTATTACATATATCTTCTTAATCGAGCATATAATTCCATCATTAATCCCTATTGAAATACCATCGACCATTACATACTTATAATCAACTTCTTCATTTGTCTTTAATCTCTACCTAGTAAAGCTTCTATTTTTTTTTTCTTCTTTTTCTCATGTAACGACACCTTTCAAATAATGAGACTAACTTTATGGAGTATATGTTGCACCAACAATCACATTGATGTCAACAGTTTATATGATAAGGTTTCATCATCTATGATATTCAAATAAAAAGCATCATCTTTTTTCTATTTAAGGCTTTCAAGAACACATCTTCTTTGATTTTCACGTAATGGTTTCCTATCCTCTTCTCAAGTAATAAAAATTATCACTCATTTGTGGAAGGGAAAAAAGAGGTCAATTGTATAAACTATGTTAAATGGTCTGTTTGAACTGAAATAAAAAGTTAAAGACCATATATACAGACTATCCTAAACTATAGGGACCATTTGTGTAATTTACTCGAGTTAATTTGCAATTTGAAAGAATAAAATTGAAACAGATTTTATTTTATTAAAGTACAGTTTTGCAGATCTTGAGATACAAAATAATAAAAGATTGTACTTAATTAACAAGTTGTTAGAAGAATACAAAGATCTCTAAGACATTCTTGATCCAACATGCACATGTGTTAACATTTATTAGCATTAAAAATAAATATACCAAATATACCACCCACCTCACCCGTTTTAAAACATAATTTATGTATATAACTCCTAACACTTCCACTCCTTACAAATCATTTAAAAAAAAAAAAAAAAAAAACAATTATATCCACACCTTTGTTCCAAAATCACCAAACTTTTTAATTGCAAACACTTCAAGAAGTCCATCACTCAAAAACAACATCCATCCATCCTTAGGAATTTCATATTCACTTTTTTCATAACAATGGCAGCTTCTTAGTTCTTACAAACATCCCCCACCCCAATGCTGCCTCATATATAACATATATGTTCTATAAAACCCTACCACTATACTCTTAAAACATTACAAAATTAGTCACCACAATGAAATAATCCCCAACTTTTATTCCCACATTATATCCTTCAATCCCCTCGAGTAAATCCACGCGAACGTGACCTCATCTTTCCACGATGATCATAAACCGAATTCCCATGATCCAACGGCTTTATCACCATCGACTCCGCTCGTTCTTGAACCGCTCCAAATACAATCTCATCGGTTTTTTCCGCGCTTTGTTCGTAGTAAGTCTCCGGCGTTGACACATAATAACGGTTGTGATACTGTTGTTGTTGTTGTTGTTGTTGTTGTTGTTGTTGTTGATACTGCTGTTGTTGTTGTTGTAAATTTTGGTCCCAACCAGTGTAAAAATGGCGACTACTTTGACGAAAATGTTGGATTTTTTCCGCATCGTTTGTCATAAAAGGGTAAGTTTTTTTCGGGGTGGGGGTACGGGTCTCGATGGAAGGAGGCGGTGGGTCGTCACCGTCTGGGATTATATAGCTATCTTGAACGGGCCATGGGTTTGACCCGTATTTGTGGTGGTGTTGACTTTGGTAATTATGGTTGACTTGTTTTTTCTTTAAGCCCGGGAAAAGTCCGGTCAAGATTTCGGATAATGATGAGGTGGAGTTGGATATGAGTTTTGCGAATGATCCGAAAAAACCCTCTTCGGGTTTTTCCGGCTCGTTGTCCACCGGAATTAGTGGCGGCCTTAGCGGCGGTTTTTGGTATGGTGGCGGTGGAACGGTGGTTTGCTTCATTGTAGGTTGCGGTTCATCCTTCACGAAATGAATCGGTCAAAAGATGTTAGTAATGTTGACTTTTGAGGTCAAACCGAGTAAATTTTGACTTTAAAATCGAGATAGATTATAAAGTTTTTCGGAAAATAGTTTGCTATGACATAATAAAATATAATAAGTATTACGATTCGAAAAAAGATTGATTTTGATTCGGACTATAAATTCATAAAATTTTGACATCTCAAGTATGCTATTTTTGACCATATATGAAGAACATAAGTGATAAAGACTTACTTGTTGGGAAGAAATCATGCTACCAACTCTTTTTTGCAACAATGCAAGCATGTAACCAAAGAAACCTGCTGCCACCAAAACTGCAATCCCTACAATATATTTCACAATGTTCAATAACCAATAAATCTATCAAAGGGTATTTTCGGTATTTAACGAAAAAAATTGCAAGATAACTCGATCGTGTTGATCTTTGTCAATCGTCCAATAAGTTCATATTTACAAAAGGGTATTTTAGATATTTGACTAATAGTCAGACAATTCCATCAAGAAACAACAATGGCAAGCTCACTCATTTGTCTCTACTCAAGGGTAGTTTAGACATTTACCAAGAGGGAAACCGCTTCCATATTGATAAGCACAATCATCAAACGGAAGTTGAATCTCACGAATAGCTTGGTTTCCTCTATCTATAACAAGAAGTGAACAACTGCTTCCAATGTAAAGAACATCAAAATCATTAGAAAATTTTGCATCTTCACTCGGTCCGTCTACATGTCCTCCACCCCGGCCCACTTTCCCCCCTCCTGCAATTGTTGTCACTCCTATACCAAAAAAAATAATAATAATAATAATTAATATTCCATAATCCTAAAAAACCTTAAGAGATATAAGTTATAGCTTACTTAATGGACTTAATATAGAAAGAACGACTTCATACTCAAAGTTATACAAAAAAGGGTCCTAACTTTTTGCTAAATTTGGATTCATTTGCTTTTTTCCTTTGATTTCTTATGTGTGACATCATTTTCTTGTCGATTTTTTTAAAACGTCATTTTGTATTTTATACCTGTATCACTAATCTTTCTAATTGCCATGTTGGCAGTGTCGGCAATGTATATGTTTCCTTTGTCATCAACTGTAAGGCCTTTTGGGTGATTCATTTTAGCTTCTCGAAGCTTCCCATCGACATGGCCTGAATACCCATCAGCTGATCCAGCTACTAACTTTGGTCTACTGTCTGAAAAGGGGGAAAGAAATCAACAAATGGTTATTGGTTTTGTGGGTCCAAGGAAATGGGATTGAAATTGAATGTTTGTCGACTTTGTTCATACCCAGAAGATGAAAATGGTGAAGAGGAAAATGGGAGTAAGGTTACTTACAGAGGGATAAAGATGAAGAGATCTTGTATAGATTGCTATTAGCAGAATCGAGAACAAGAAGCTCTCCATTAGGTAAAACCTCGAGAGCATGAGGTTCGATCCCAAGCTTACTTCCATCGAAAACTGTCTCGACGTTATAACCACTCTCAAATTTCATCAATGGTCGCCCAGTAATCGCTAAAACAATGGAAACCCACAAAAAACAAGTGATATCAGTAACGATTGGAGCATTCAGTGAACAGATGGATACGATTGATATATAAATGAATGCGAAGAACAAAACCGACAAAAAAAAAATTAAACGGAAATACCACCATTGTAGGATACTGTTAACCACATATGATCGAAAAAGCAAGAGAAATCAGCTGAAAATCAAGATCTATTACATGTTTTGGCAGGTGTTTTGAGCGACCACGCCCATTTCATCAAAGCAGAAGCAACATTTGAGAAAACCCCATTAACAATCCCTGCAAAAAGAAATAGGGGTTGTAAGTTGTAAGCTGTGAGCGTAAGTGAAAGTACAGTACAACAAAATCAGATCCTAACTTGAAAATCTGAAGAAGAAAAAATCAGAAACCACGAAATGTAGTACACTCACTAGCAGGTGAAGTAGCTGGAGCAGCAGATACGCCAACATTAACAGAGAGTAAAAGTAAAAGAGCAAGTGAGAAAACGAGCAGAATTCTACCCATTGCTGCCATTTTCGTGAGGAGCTGAGAGGAATCAGAGTTTGGAGGTGGATTGCATTACATATGAATTGAAACGGGAAACCCTAATGAGAATCTGAAATGGGTTTGTTAAAGAGAGGGAAAAGGGAGTGCTTTTTGATGGGTTTTTTGATTTTTCATGAAAAGGAGTGGGGATTTTGAGAGATGTGCGAAAGAATTAGAGGATAGAAGGGGTGGAAAAGACAAGAAATGACAAGAGGAGGGGCTGGGGGGCCTTTGCCAGTGGAGGACAGTAGTTGGAGTTGAGAATCATTTGCAGTAAATATGTTTGATATAATATTTTTTTAATACAAGATTGAGATTTATTGTTTTGTAATAAAAAAACAAATATTTTGACACCAATAATGCAAGTTCATAGAAAATGTTTTTACTTCCAGATATTTATTTCTAAAAAGATTTTAGTTCAAATGGTATATTTATCGTATTTGTAACTAGGGTTGACGTCACTATTTGACCTTGGTATTAATTTTTATTTGGTTGATTACTAATAATTTTTGTGAATTTTATTACTGATGTTCAAATTTTATATCAAAAATATCATTTTCATGAAATTGAACGTCTAACATGGATCTTTGAATATAACAATTTAGTTTAGAGTAGAAAATTTTTATTAAGAAAAGTTAGGAAGAAGCTAGACAAAACACCTTAAGTACAAAACATTACAAGTGATTCAAATTTGGATTTTCATAACCATACATTCTAATTAATCAACCCCTAATACCTATATTTGAACACCAAAAGTAAGCCTTCGAAATGATTTTGTCAAATACTTGGCTCTTCTTAGATTGTTGTGACCCAAAAAAAAAAAAACTTTTTTCAAAATATTAAACATACCACCACATGATGTAAAAAAAATGTCATTCCTTAGCTCATTGATCGGCTTCTGTAGACACAAATCACGAAACAAGGCCAGCCACTCATCAACAAAAAACATAGATTGATCATCAATCCCCCACCACCAAAACATTATGGCCCTTAAATCCCGAAGTCACCATGAAAGAGAAGGAAAGATGATTCACCGACTCCACTCCTCCATCATAAACTAGAAAATGAAGATTGGGAATCTCTAAACCCCTCTTATAAATATTTGGCTTGGTCGGCAAACTATTAAGCATTATTCACCAAATTAGAAGATTAACCTTTATAGGAACAAAACGCACGACATTCTCACTTGAGAGAAACATCATTTAATCAATAAAATTATGCATGGATGCCACATTAAATTCAATCAAGTCTTCCAAACCGGAATCGAGCTTAACGAAATCAAGGAGAGAAGAAAAGCAAGTGTAGACTCTGCTCACTTTCGGCTCCTCCTTTTTTTTGGGGGGGGGGGGGGGGGGGGGAATAACTCCAATACTAATGTCTCATCTTTTACGCAATGGAGATTTCTTGATTCAAATCCAAAAGCAAACAAGTGTAGGAACCGAACCTATAGCAATATATCACCCACAAAAATCTATACCAAAAGAAGAAGAAACATTATTATCAACCACCTTCTTGCAAAACATAAGTAACTTCACACTGACCCAAAAGCAGCATGTTTGATTTACCATAACTCAAGCATTACTTGGGTAGTGTATCACAGTGGTTTTGCATGGTTGATTTACCATCTGGGTTCATAATCCTCGGCAAAACCAGTCATGAATGTTAGATGAGTGTGGAAGAGATTAACATGTTATTGATATAAGTCAATAAATCTTGACAGATCTAGGAGTTTCATGAGATTGAAACCGGCGAACAATTTGCCTACCTAAATAGCTTCTTGGTGTGATTACGACAAACTTTTCCATATATCGGTGTGAAATGTGGACCTAGCCCTGTTCAAATAATTCTAAGTGAGTTGAGTAATTATTTCTCTAAGGATTACATAAAACAAACTAGAATGGAACTTTATTGAATGATGTCTACAAACGAAAAATCGTCCACTAATGTTTTTACTGCTATAAAATCTCTAAAAGGATAAGTCGACAGGACCGATCAATCTTCTCTAAATTAGCAGTTTGAGAATAGTTCTCATGAACAAAGAGAAAGATTGTGCCTTTGACAAATCTCTTCCTGAGGTTCCTCCATCTATACATTGACGAATTAATGCAACATGGAATTCCATTCAGTTAGAAGTTGGTTAACATAATTTATTAGCTAACATGTTCATATGATCAGTTCATCTTGATTCTGATATGAACGACTAAGAAATATCCATCATGGAGTTGCATGGCACGTTGAGTTCCTTTTGGAACTAACATGGCCAAGCATAGAAACTCCAACTTCAAATGCTCTTATATTTGCTATCATGAAATAAAGTTTCAATAAGAAGAAAACCAATTGCTGGGTAAAGGGAGTTTAGATTTGGTATACCTAATTCTGACCCTTGACACCAAGGATAAAAGGAAGGATTGTTATGAGACATGTTTGGATAGGCATTTTAGTTCTAAATCAAGAAAGGACTAAGAAAGCATATATGCCTAGTATATCTATAAGAGTTGAAAAGATACAAGCCAAAAAGTATGGCACAGTCAAATATATGAATTCATAATATCATTAGAACATTACTTCAAACCATTGAGTATTGTTAAAGTGTGTAGTGAGAGACTAAACAAATAACAAAGGGGTATAAAAAAAATATTGATTGGTTGCCTAAGGGTTATCATAAGAAAGTAAGGTCAAATCCACACGGACAAGTCCTAGGGTCTATGCCCTTCTTGCATAAGGCGGTAAATTAAATGAGGGGGTTTTGATGATTAAAACCAATTTTAAACGCAAATTTATGAAAATGAAACTAATTAATTTTAAAAATTTAAGATAATTAAAAAAAGTATAGTTCCACGGTGACTATCCTAATCATGCAGATAACCTTCAACTTGATTGTTTGGATTGTGCACTATCTAAACTAGTACTGAAAATCATTAGCAAGCTATAACAATATTCTTTTACCAGATTTGTTTAATCAAAATATGTTGTTTGAATTAAACCTTACTTTTGACTAAGTCAATCAAATAGACTCTTAATTAATTTAGAAAAATAGCATTAAACACAATGTAAAATTCCTAATAAATTCCAATACTTCTCATAGGCTCGGAAGTGTAAAAACTTATTCGATCAGTTTATATTAGAGTTAAATCATAGTACAAAACCAATCTAATATCCGTTACTTATTATTGTTAGATAAAACAATTACGGGTCCTAATGAATGATCTATTATGAATTCAAGTGGCCAAAACAAACTGAACCAAAATCAAATAATTACTTAAACATGAAACTGATCAAACTAGATAGTAATCACAACCAAAAATCAAGCCTAATGATTACTTGTACAAAAAGTTGAGTCGATGTGAAACTAAAGTCTAGGGTTTTTAGACGGACATGGCTAATAATGGATTACAAACGATAAAAATTAAAATCTAAATGATTATTCTTACTAAACTAATTGAGACAGTCGATCCACAATCTTCGGATCTTCGAAAATCGATGGAAAATTGCAGAAATCGCCAAAAAATCATCTGGAAAGTGTTTATTTTCGTTTGCAGCAATCTCTTGGGTTCGACTAAAAAGACATCAGGTATTTATATAGCAAGGCATGACAGTAAATAAAGGCTCTGACGGGTCTAGTCTATGCGCATTTAAATGAAGCATATTGCCAAAATGAGACCTTTTTAGAAGCACCCACATGAATCACAACCTCTTCCTGGATGACCAGGTCCTGCCTTCCAAACGCAAAGTACTAATCTTTCAAATCTTCAAAAATCAGTAAAATAGTAATTGGAGAGTAAGCAGGGCTTGTGCTTGAGAAGCACAGCTCGTGCAAGGTCAACACAAATCAGCCTTCAAAAAATACCACTAAAAATTTGCCAACTCAAGTTCGTGAAGGAAGCACAACCCGTTCTTGATAAGTATGGTCCGTGTTTTACATTTTTTTCGCATTTCAGGGTCAAAACTTCATTCTGCGTTGCTATCTTCTATTCTCTAGCATCCTTAGGTACGTTTAGCCCAGGTTAATCTCCAATACTCCACTCTCACATCTAAAGTCCAAATTCGCTTCAAAATCCCTGAAAAATACATTAAAATATAAGAAGTACGGGTATTCTTACGAAAAACAAACATTGTTTGAATTATACTAAAAACATGATTACAAATGTCGAAAATATGATACAGAATGAGATTAAATGTAACCAAAATGATGCATAAAAATTCATCTAACAAACCTCCATAAGCATACACCTTACTAGTCCTCGAGTAAGGAAAGAATCGACATTGAAATCAAACATGGAATGCGAAGATGACAGGAAGGAAATCCTAAACAAAACCAAACTAACTAAACGGAAACCTAAACTAACACGATCAATAACCATAAGAAAAATAGAATATGCATGCAAAATGATAAACAAAAAGAAAAGCAAAACATGAAAATAACGAAATCACTTTTTTTTTTCTATATATTTTTCTTTTTCTTTTCACACGATCAAACTTACACCAAAGAAGCTCAAATGAAATCACTGTCTATACAATAATTTCAATACCTTCCATATATCCTATATTTCCAAGGTCAAAAGATGCTCGATGATGTAAACCGATAAACCCATCCTTAAATACTCTGTTACGTCAAATCAGTTTCCACCAAAGTAGCCAGCCCTCCCGTAGGGCCCGAGCACCTATGCTTTCACTTTTTCAAGAGCATCATTTATCATATCACACAATTCTTTATTTGCATCAGATTTAACTTTGAGGCGGCTCTTGATTTGATAAAAGCTTGAATTTTTGTGTATTTTTGCCTTCGAATTTGAGTTCTTAAACATATTATTATTTTTCTATGCTTGAAACTTGACTTGCGTACTGGATTTGGCAATTTGTACCCGTTTCAAGCTCGGATATGACAGTTTTGTTCTTTTTTTCGTTTTTTGTTGGTTGTGTGAATATGATATAAGACTCTATGTTACCGCAAAGTGTAACATATGTCAACAATTAGGTCTGTGTTTTGTGGGGTCAAGACTTATCGAGCCCGGTTCTTACTTAAAATTCAAAAGAAATTAGTTGCAAAATTGTTATATTTTTTCTTACGCAGTGTTTCAAGATTCTTATTTTAACGGCGATTCGCAATACTTCTATTGATTGCTTCAATTATCTTTCACTTCAATCTTCTGGCTTAAGTCAGATGCTACATCGAACTTGGTTCTCAGAACCACGTAACATACTCGTCTTAGTCAGAGCCAATTTGATACGACCACTAGGGTCGAAATGACAATCATCTTCTTAATCATTACCGAAACAATGGTAATG